ATAGCCAATCTTGGTGAGCGCCACACTGTGCATGCCCGGGCCACTGCCGAGGTCCAACGCTCGCGCGCGCGCGCTCTCACATTCGAGATCAAGACCACAAACCAGGCCCATATCCGCTCGAACACGAGCGTCGAAGTCCCCGATCATAGTCAGGTAATCCGCCGCGAGAAGATCGCGGTAATGACTCGCAACATTGCCCATTAGAATTCCATATAAAGATTTGCTTATATCTTTATATGGAATTCCCAAATGCTATGGCAAGCCCCTACCCCTCAACAAACCCCGGCCACTGGCCCATATAGTCGACAAACTTGTCGCTGAGGCCTTGGTCATTGAGGTAAGCCGCCGTCACCGGAATTGTCACGGGTTCGAACGATGCGTCTGCCGACAGCTTGTTCGGGAAATCATGGGTCAGAATAGCCGCTCGTCCGAGCAGAACGAAATCACACCCTTTGTCCAGGCAGGCTTGAGCATCTTCAGGGCGCGCGATCTTCCCGGCAACGCCTAGGCGCACATTGCCCCTGTCCAACTCCGTGAAATAGTCCATGAGCTTCTTGCCTTTGAACTCCTCATCGGTCGGTTCTTTGAAGACATTCCATAGGGACATGTCCAGATAGTCGATTTTGTCTTCGTGCATCAGAAGTTGCGCCACCTCAACAATCTCACTCAACTTCAGATCGAACCGCTCAGGTGACAGGCGAACACCGAGGTGAAAACCCGCCCCGCACCGCTTACGAATGCCATCAATGATATCAAATAGCGGACGGGACCGGTTTTCGAGCGATCCACCATACTTGTCGTCCCGTTGGTTCACGCCGGGGCTTAGAAATTGGCACAGGATGTAGCCATGCGCTCCATGGAGCTCGACACCATCAAAGCCCGCCTTCTCTGCCCGCTCAGCGCCGGCGATAAAATCTTCGATGAGCTGGTCGACTTCTGCGGTCGAGAGAGCCCGCGCTCCAAACTCTTCATTGTCTGATGGGCAGTGCGGCTTTTCGCCGATGAGCTCTTCTGGAGACCGCATTCCCGCATGATGCAACTGCACCACCGCAATACTGTCCTGAGATTTGATTGCTGTCGCTAAACGCGTCAATCCCTCCAGATGATCGTCGGAAAAAATTCCGAGCTGGCCAGGGAACCCCTGCCCCACAGCCTGCACATGCGCTGCGCAGGTCATGGTCAAGCCAAAGCCGCCTTCTGCCCGCATGGTAAGCCAGCGAAACTCTTCGTCGGACAAGCGCCCATCATCATGGCTTTGAGTATTGGTAAGCGGCGCCAGCATGAAACGGTTCTTCATGGCAGGGCCCCGCGTGAACGACAAGGGTTCAAACAGATCAGTCATGTAACATCCAAAATAGAGTAGAAAGAAAGTCGGATCAGGCCTCTTGTGCCGTGCCCCAATAGTTAAAGCCGGCAAAGCGCGGCGTGTCCGGCAGATACATAGTCTCAAGGTTTTTCACCTTGAACCCACCCTGCTCCAACACACTCGGAATGTTCCGATTGAGATTGCAGCCGCCTGCGATCCGTTTCCAGAATGGATTGACGCGCGCCTGCCACTTTTGCACGTCTTCATCAGGCGCAAGCCCGTGCTCACAGAAAATGAGATTGCCGCCTGGTCGCAACACACGCTTCATACCTTCCAGCGCTTTTTGTGGATCAGGGATTGTGCAAAGCGAATAAGTCACCATCACCGTATCGACAGAGTTGGCATCCAGTGGAATCTCTTCTCCGGGCAACCCAACAAACTCAACGTCAAATCCCAAACCCTTCGCCCGTTCTCCGGCGATCTTCCAACTCTCCTCAGACGGATCGAGACCAATCACCCGTTCAACACGCGAAGGATCGTAGTGCTCAAGATTAAGCCCGGTTCCAATGCCGATTTCGAGAACGCGGCCTTCTGCCATGGGCACGACTTTTTTCCGCTGGTAAGCGATCGGCTTGGCTCCACAGGCAAACTTGCTATTGATGATCCGGGGGACAATATATTTTTCGTAAAAACCCATGCGCTCTCTCCCAATGTTGATAGTCGCGAGTATAAGCGCAAAAAGGGGTCTTAGCGCCAGTCCGACACACCAAAGCGAAGCAAACGATCTTGGGCGATCTGCCCTATGCACCGCCCACGCCCGCGGTGGGCCAGCACCCCTGTTCGAACCAAATTGGCCTGCCTTAGAGGAGAAAGCACCCGAACCCCTTTGGAGAGCGCGTCCCAAATGTCCTCAGCGGGAGGAATTGTCTGACTTTTGGCCCTGTCTGAAAGTTCTACTGAGTCGGCGATCAATATGGCACTGAGCGCCGCTTCCGCCCCAGAACGCGCATAAATCGCTACAATATCTGCGTCCCCATCGGCGCTATTGGGCACTCGAGGTCCGGCAACAGCGATCCCCCCTTTTATGACACCCGGGCGCAAGCCTCGGATCATTTCAAGCCATAGAGCGCCACGTAGATCAGACGGCACATCCAGCACCGCCTCAAAGTCTATGAAGAAAGCTCCGCACTCACCACTGACAACATAGGCCGACTCCAAATAGGAGGCAGCGCACATATGCTGAACAGTTTGGTCTGCTAACGCGCCGGCGACCGCATATTTCGCTGCTGCAACTGAGTGATCAGGGTGTCCCGCATGAGCCGCAGTGCGGGCGGCTTCTAGCGCCGTACGCGCTGCTTCACTGCGAGGCAGGACATCCAGATGTCCCTGGGAAACCAAGGCCATGTCGCTATCTGCTTCAGCCGCTGCTTGCCTGAGAAAAGCGACACCTGCCGCAACCGCGCTGTCTGTCATTGAGGCGCCGTCCCCGCTGGCACCCAAATGATAGATTGCACCTGAAATTTCGACTGATGTCGTACTCACATCTCACCTACCAGCCAGCTCAATCGCGACAATCCGGCCTTATTGCGTTGCCAACCCTGGTGCAGTCCATACACCATCACTGTTTGCATCAACATAGATCGGATTGGTGAAGGCATATGGTTTGAACTCTGGATAAACCACAGCGTAATCCTCACCAGGATCCCCTGCCACCTCAACAGTGACATAGCTGTCTTTTTCAAATCCAAGCTTGAACGCGACCACTTCGCCATTGGCAACAGGGAAATCCCGCAGCGCTTTGCCGTTGACGCTGATTGTCAGGATCGAGGCATCAATCCAGGGGGCAGAGGATACTTTGACAGTAAGCTCTGCACTCCCACCAGCGACCATCTCGCCAAGCCCCTTGTCACCGAGCGTAACTTCGAGCATCGGCCCTGTCGTGCCATAGACACGCCCCTGTTGAACAGCAGACACAAATACCGCTTCGTCAAATGCTTCAATCGTGTCTTCCTCAACCGCGATCATGTTTCGTGGCAGGCCAACCTGCTGGGACGCGGTATGAGAGTCACTATTGGCCGTCGCGACAATCTTCTCTCCCTGCGAAACCAGTGAAAGCCAATCACGACGAAGGGCTATTTCAGACTCACGAGAAATGCCGTTCATCACTTCCATGGCATCAAAGTCGATATCACGCTTTCCCGTAACCGGATCTGGATCAATGAGGCGACGGTTGCCATCGCTTCCCAAAATCTCGCCCGCATTGTAGGACCGTCCAACGCCCATGTGGTCGAAATAAGCCGCCCGATCCCCAGACCAGTCTTCCTCCCAGGCTGGACTCCCAGGCGCGAACCGATCATCCCACCGCGCATGGTTGAGTTGAATAAGAGAGTCAGCGCGGCGCGCCCTAAGATCAGCAATTACTTCTCGCCAGCGACGGTTTTCATTGGCAAAGGCGCCGCGTCTGAACGCAAGAGCTTGCGCATCAACAGGAAACGCGTTCGCGTGGCCCAAAGTATAGGGCGTCCGGTCGCTCCCAACTTCTCCAGTAATCTCTGTACCTGCAATGGTCGCAACATAATCGCCGACCTCAAGCCGATCGATCGTAGGCTGGAAATCAAAAACTGTTTCATGCTCGGTGGCGACGAGCACTTCCGCTCCCTCAGCAAGATAAGTCGCGACCCGCTTTGCCCGCGGCATCACAGTGTCAAAACTAGGTCCAGAGTGGACATGAAAATCAGCCGAAATGAACCCCGCCGTCTCAACAACGACACTCGGCTTAGGAATATTGAGAACCGTATCATTCCCTGCCACCACAGAAAGCTCTACCTTCTCAAGGGAATATTCAGGGCCGCGCGTGGCATAAACCCGGTACTTGCCAGGTGGCAGCAGAGCAAAGGCTGGGTCTTTGTCAGTCCCCATCAAAAAAATCTGATTGACCCCAGTCAACCTGTAAGAGCTATCGTCCCGCAATTCGACTGCGCCCAGGAGATTGCCACCGAAGAAAGGGTCCGGTGTGCCATCAAGTCCTTTGAAGGTAAGCCGCATGGGAGATCCCTGCGGAAGCGCGACGCGAGACGGCGCATCCAAATCCACTGTCTCCAGAGTCATATCTGACTCCCCGACCTGAAAAGGTACGCTCAGTTCCCTGCCCCCCGGGGCGACGACCCGCAATGCGTAAGCGCCTGTCGGCAAGCGCGCTGAGAAGGCGCCTCTGCCATCGGCGGTGGTCTGAGTAAATGGTGTCCCGTCATTCAAGTCCACATGAACAACCGCGCCGCCCTCTGACACCCGGCCATCAACCTTCGCCGCATTTGTATAGATACGGTCTGTAATCCCAGCCACATCTGCCCCCGGCGCAAGGTGCAAAACCTCCTCGAACGTGATCTCATCACCGGCTGCGAGCTCTGTAAACGGCACCTCAAGCAGTTGCAAAAGGCCGATGTCTGCGCCATCGCCAGTAACGAAAGGTTCAGTGATGGCCAGAAACGACAAAGCTGAGAAATCCGCCAGCGCATAAAATGGAAGATCCGCAACAGACCCGTCAGCATTCGAACGCCTCGCCGATACCATCTGCCATCCATACGTGATCGGCGCATCAGCATCTGCCGGGCTCAATGCAACAATCAGATCGGCAGTTCGGGCAAATGTTGCGATCTCAGTCGGGCCCCGCGTAACGAAGCTTTCCTGAACAAATCCATTCGACCTGCTGGGATCAATTGTGGATGCGACAAAAGGGACAAGCGAATAATAGTTGAAGAAGATACTTGTATAGAGCGCAACACTGGGCTCGCCATCGCGTTGAGTAAGATGCTTGGTAATGAAGAGCTTATCCGGCTCATCCGAGTCGAGGCGGTAACTTGTCTCGACAATCACCCCACCTTGCCCGCCAAAACTGCGAATTACCGCAGAGGACGGACCGACTTTCCCATCAACGCGCTCAATATTGACCGGAGTATCTCGGGAACTATCGATAAGATCCTGTGCGCCGACATAGTGGTCATCGGCCCGATCGCAATATCCAAGATCGATGAGCGTGCCACCGCGTACGGAGAGTTCGCTCTCATGAGCGATACCGCTGATCACAGCACAGACTGACCCGTTGCTGAGGATCCAGTCGCCAATGCCGCCTGCCGCATCAGGACCAGCCTGAACATATTGAGCGGCATTTTCTGAGGTTATGCGGGTTGCAACGAGTTCGGCTGCCCCGGCTACTGACATGGCACCGCTCATTGACAGCGTTGTGCCTACCAAAATCCCAGCAAATATCTGCTTCATTTGCACCCCCGAACCCCACACATTCCCAAACGACGTTTGAGAGTGCGAAAGCTATCACACAGGAGAAAGACCGCCACGTTCAAAAGAGCAAAGAAGTACGCAATGTGCCCCATAGAATGTGCCAATGCAGGTAGTAGGTCATGCGGAATAGGAACATGTGCACAAACCCGAACCGCTTGAGCACATAGAACTGGACGACGCTAAAGAGAAAAAGGTGCACACCAAGATAGATACTCTTCCACGTCCATCCCTGTTCGGTTGCACCCGCCCAAATCTGAAACCCCGGCTCGAGAGTCGCCGCAATTGCCGCACAGGTCCAAAACTGGCGCGGTGCATCGCCGACATCCGTCGCCTTACTGACAACGAGTAGCAGTATCGATAGGGGAACGAGGTGAAACGTGATTTCGACCACATATCCCATGATCGGGTAAAACAAGAGCGCCGCCGGAACAGCCACATTCATGTCTTCTGGAAAAGGTTGAAATGTGTCGACCAGAATCGTCGGCAGCACGATCAGCGTTGCACCAATCCCTGAGAACAACAGGCCCCTCGCCCACTCATCGACCACCACCATCATTATGTCCATCCGCGTGAACAGAAACCAACCAGCGGAGGCACCAATACAGATGACTGCCAAAATTATCAGGACGGGAGAATAGTTGCCGAAAAAGCGCTGGAATAACTCAGGGCCGCTATATGCGAGGCAGCCAGTCGCAACCAAAATTGGGACCGACAGGACGGCAAACCATCTTATCTGAGTACGTAGTGTCTCGGAATATCCGGATTTACTGCTCATCGGGTCCAAGCTTAATGACCGCGCCGAATTACGAGCGCGCTATACTATGCTTGGTCCCTTCCGTTCTGCCAAGAGACGAACCACGAGACTAAGTGCGTTAAACAACACCACTAAGCAGCGTCCGGCAGGCTCAATGTCAACCCATTAAGCTCCTCAGAGAAAATCAGCTGACAGGACAGGCGTTCGTCGTCGCCTGCAAGGTGCTCGTCCAGCCGATCAAGTTCTTCATCGCGAGGTTCGTGCAGCTTGTTCTGCCACTCCGGGGCCACGCGCACACGGCATTCACCGCAAACACTGGAGCCACCGCACTCAGCACCAAGTTTCACTCCATGGGCGCGGACAATTTCCATCACCCGCCATCCTTCGACAGCGTCGAGCTCGTGCGCAACGCCGTCGCGATCTGCAACGACAATCTTCATGGGTCTCACCTTCGGGGGGGTTAGGGGAGATTTGTTAGGCGACGCCGAGCTTCTTCTGAAGGTTCGACGACGATGTTGTGTACTGGAAAACGATTTTTGCGTCAGGATCGACGATCCGCTTGGCAGCTTGAGCCATCAGTGCCGCTTCATGAAAGCCAGAAAGAATGAGCTTCAGCTTACCCGGATAGTGATTGATATCCCCGATCGCAAAAATACCGTCTGCATTGGTTGCAAACTTCTCTGTATCGACTGGAATGAGGTTCTCATCGAGATTAAGACCCCAATCAGCGATTGGGCCGAGTTTCATCGTGAGACCAAAGAACGGCAACAGCGTGTCACATTCGATCTTCGTCAGCTCACCCTCCTTCGACTTGTAGGTCACACCTTCCAGCTGGCCATTGTCACCATGCAGTTCAGTGATTTGCCCCATGTGGAAGATCATCTTTTTCTCTTCCACAAGCGCATGCATTTTGTTCACGGAATCAGGTGCTGCTCGGAAACCATCACGACGGTGAATAAGCTGCATGCTGTCCGCGATAGGCTGGAGATTGATCGTCCAGTCAAGTGCACTGTCCCCGCCACCTGAAACGAGAATGTTCTTGCCTTTGAACGCATCCATCTTCTTCACAGAATAGAAGACCGATGTGCCTTCATAAGCTTCAATGCCTGGGATTGGTGGCTTCTTAGGCTGGAAACTACCGCCGCCCGCAGCGATCACAACAACAGGGGCTTCAAATGTCAGACCACCGTCGGTTTTTACCTGCCAGTTGCCATTGTCGAGCTTCTGAACCTGCTCAACCATCTCATTGTAGTGATATTCAGGACCGAAGGGCTTGGCCTGCTCCAACAGATTATCTGTGAGCTCCTGCCCTGACACGACTGGGAGACCTGGAATGTCATAGATCGGCTTTTCAGGATAAAGCTCAGCGCACTGTCCACCAGGACGATCAAGAATGTCGATCACATGAGTCTTCAGGTCCAGAAGGCCCAATTCAAAGATCGCGAAAAGCCCACAAGGGCCCGCGCCAATAATGACCACATCAGTCGTAATCGTGTCCTGGCTCATATCGGTCCAGTCCTTTCAAAAGGTCCGCAAAAAAACAAGTGGGCGAGCCAATAGCAAGCTCCCGCGCCCACGTAAAGAACGTTGTACGAATGTAATAATCATCCAAAAGACAAATTCAAGTGTGAAAAATTATAAATACCACTTCTGTGATGGACTTTAGAGCTGAATGCGACGCTCTGCCCTCGTGACAAACCGACTGTAATGCTTATGTTAGGCGCAGAAATCGGGTGGTCGATGCTATGGATCCTCCGCCCCCCTTTTCGGAGTAATTCATGACCAAGTGCGAGACGATGGCTGATGTCCGCCGGGAGGTCGACCGCCTCGACCGTGAACTCGTTGCCCTTCTAACAGAGCGGCAAGCGATGATGAATGAGGCTGGGCGCATTAAGGCAAGCCGCGATCTAGTGCGCGATGAAGACCGCATTGAACAGGTGGTTGCGAACGTGTTGCACGAATCAAAGAAAACCGGCCTCTCCCCTGCGATTGCAGAGCCTGTCTGGCGGCTTCTCATTGAGAAAAGCATCGAACATGAATTCGGTGTCTTCGACGATCTCAACAAGGCCTCGTAAACCACTCAGTTCGCGGCTGAACGTTCCGCCAAAAACTCAACAAACTGAAAATCGAGTTCGGTGTCTATGTCGGCAGACCGCTCCTCCGGCATCTCAAAGAGATGTGTCTTCTCAAGGAATAATCCAACGTCACTCATCAGTGTGGCGCGCCGCCACGCGTATATTGAGCCGTTCATATCAAAGGTCCGCGGTGCATCTTGACGCCGAACGATGGGAGGATCGGTTGGCTTTGACAGCCCGACTGACCCGCCTGGGCGTTCTTCAACCAAATTGAAATAGGGAGAACATTTGGCCGGCGACCCTGTGATGACATTGTCCACATCACCATTATCAAGAAGAGCAACCGCCCCGACAATATCGCTTGGCCAGCGTAGCGGTGATGTTGGTTGCAAGTCCGCGACGATGTCGACCCCATGCCCGATTTCATTCTCAACCGTTTCAACGCAATGGCGAATTGCGGGAAGCTTAGCAGCGGTATCCGTCGCAAGTTCCGGCGGGCGCCGAACAAGGTGTTGGACACCAGCAGCACGCGCCGTGTCCAAAATCGCCTGATCGTCACTAGAAACAGCAATATGCTCGAAAAGCTTGCTCGCTTGTGCCTGCTCAATGGAATGAACGATCAAAGGTTTCCCAAGAAGCGGCCGGATGTTCTTGCCTGGCACTCCTTTGGATCCACCACGGGCGAGTATGGTGCAAATCCGCGTCACACTGGTTCTTTCGCACCAAAGACTTTGCCAAATTCTTCCTGTGCCTGCTGCAGGTCATCCAATTGGCCGATATCGATCCAGTATTCATGGATCGGAAAGGCGCTCGCAAGCCCACCCTCAGAGATTACGTGATCGAACAAAGTCGGCATGTCATACATCTCACCGTCGGGGACATGATGTAAAATTGCCGGTGACAGCGCATAGACGCCGCCATTCACAAAATAGTTCTGTGTTGGCTTCTCATTGATCTCGGTAATCTGGTTGCCACTCATCTCAATGACACCATACGGGACCTGGAAGCGGTACTCCCGTACGCCCATGGTCGCATCAGCCACCTGATCCACGTGAAAATCAAGAAGCCGGCGAAAATTGATCGCCGTCACCAGATCCGCATTCATGACAAGGAACGGGGCGCTAGGTGTTTCTGGCAGGAGCGTCAAAGCACCGGCCGTGCCCAACCGTTTGCTTTCTTCCAAATAGGAGATGTCGACACCCCACTCATGCCCATCACCAAAATAGGCTTCCACTTTTTCCGCCTGGTAATTGACCGAAAGAAAAATGCGTTTGAACCCCTGCTCCGCCAGCCGTTCAATAATGCTCTCAAGCACAGGCTTTCCGCCCACAGGGATAAGCGGCTTGGGAAGGTTCTCCGTAAGTGGCCGAAGTCGCGTGCCCAGGCCACCGGCCATAATCACAACCCAATTATCACTTCGATCGTCCTGAACGATGCGGCTCAGTGTCTCAAGGCCAGTCAGCACACCATCTGCATCGACAATCGGCACTTGTGCGATCTGATACTCTCGCATCCAGCGCATCACCGTTTTACGGTCGATGTCAGGGCCGGCAGTGATGGGGTTTGCCTTCATCACATTCCCAACCGGCGCATCAAGGGTTTCGCTGCGAAGGATCGCGCGGCGAACATCGCCGTCGGTGATGGTCCCCTGCAACCTTCTGTCCGGATCAACAACAAGTGCAATTTGCAGCGCACTTTCGTCGAGATTCCTGATCGCCTCTCCTAGAGTGGCGCTCGGGTCCAGAACTGCCTTTTTCCAATGAGCCATACGGCCTCCTACTGGGTAATCATGTCATCAGGCGCATAGGCACGTGCGGCGTGGGTTCCAAGAAGCGACCAATAAAGCTCAGGGCGCAGACCGGTGCCCGGTCGTTTAACGGTGAGGTTGTCAGTGGTAAAAACATCGCCAGCACTAATGGGTTTACAGGCGACCAAGGACTTACGTCCAATCGCCATATTGCTGATTTCGGCAGGCTGCGGCTCTTTGGCTCCATCGCCAAGACCCGTGGACACCCGTCGAACCCCCTCTACTAGGGCACGCAACTCTTCTGGAGTCGCCGATGCTTTATGATCAGGGCCTGGCAATTCCTTATCGAGTGTGTAGTGCTTCTCAATAATGCAGGCGCCCATTGCCACTGAAGCTATCGCGTGAACAATACCTTCGCTGTGATCTGAAAATCCAACAGGTAGACCAAACTTCGCACGAAGCGTCTCAATTGCTCTGAGATTTACGTCCACGTCCGGTGTTGGGTAGGAACTCGTGCAATGCAACAGTTTTACGCGGGACTTGAGAGCAGCTTTCCCCGCTTCGCTCTCTAACGCTTCTTCGAATGCCTTTTCGCCCGGCGCGCTCTCGCCAAGATATCCATGCGCCACCACACCTAGCATGGTCTCGACTTCATCCAGCGTCGCCATGCCCGTCGAGAGGATGAGGTCGCGGCCTGCCTTCGCGCAAGCATGCAAAAGCGGTGCGTTGGTAAGTTCACCCGAACCGACTTTTAGCGTTGTAACGTTAAGCTCATTGGCGAGAAGATCCAGGCTCCCCAGATCAAAGGGAGTCGAGAGAAACTGCACGCCCTTTTCGGCACAACGTTGAATGAGTGTCCTGTGGGCGTGCACATCAAGCTCCAGCGCGCGCAGCATTTCCAACTGCGTTTCACTCTCTTCAGTTGTTTCTTTCTGATAGTCAGCTTTCGGAGCGCTCCGCGTCACCAAAGCTTCCGCATCGAATGTTTGAAACTTCACAACATCCACACCAATGTCGGCGGCAACATCGACCATCTCAATGGCGCGCTCCAGCGACCCATTGTGATTGACACCAGCTTCAGCGATCACCGTGACTTGGTTCATGGTCTCACCTCTTTGAGAAGCATAAAGGCTTCTGCGGCCGCATACCCCGCCTCCGCACCACGCACCTTCTCTTTCGCATCTACAATTTCCAGGCTCCGTGGAAACGGTGCGTCACCCACCTCCTCGCCATAGAGCTCAATGATAGATCTCTTCTTCGCAGACCAATCTGTGATGTTCTCATAGAGAGATGGGATGAAATCCAGGCCACCAGGCCGCCTCACAATGTCCGTTTCCGAGAGTGTTTCGTACGCCAAAACACGCCTGAGATAGGGTGCACGAAACCATTTGGTGCAGGACAGAGCCGCATCAAAAGAAATTTTGTGGTCTGTGTGTGCATCGCCTGGGAACGGCAAAAAGACATCAGATGGATGAACCTGCGCAAAGATGTCAGCGATCTTCTTCACAATCTCGCCGATTGGCACAACATCAAGTGCCGCCGTCTCATACCCAAGACGGTGAACCGACTGAAAGCCAAATGCCTGTGACACCGCTTCAATCTCACCTTCGCGCGTCGCGATGCGTTCGCTTGAATAGCCAGAAAAAGCTGTCATCTCCGTCAGGATCAGCCAGTGCAATTGGGCGCCAGAATAACGGGCCTTCAACAAAGCTCCCCCACACCCGAAGGTCTCATCGTCAGGATGAGGGGCAACGACTAAAATGTCAGACATGCTCCCTCTCCCTCAAAACGTATTACGTTTCTGAACCAACCGGCGCTGGTCGGTTTCTTGGACAAGGACATCGCATATCTGCTTGCCCGCTGTGCCGTCCCCGTAAGGATTTTTTGCTGATTCCAGCTGTGCGCGGTACTGGTCGTCGAACACAGCCTTGTTCAGCGCTGTTTCGATCTCTGTTGCATTATAATCAACAAATTCGACGTTTCCGGCATGCTCGCGACCGACCTGACGGCTTCCCACATTCACCACCGGCAGCTTCAGAAGGGGCGCTTCAATGATCCCACAACTTGAGTTGCCGACCAGGGCAGATGCATGGCGCATCAGGTTCACAAACACAGCCCGCGATAGATTTTTGTAGGCAACAAGCGTTGGATGACGGTTTGCGTAGTCAGACAGGAGGCGTGACATGGCGTGATTACCGGGATCGCTGTTTGGACTGGAAACAAAGGTGGGCAACCCGCATGCGACAACCGCATCAAGGGTCGCCTTCATTTGCCGTTCCGCGTCATGCATCTCCGGCAGTAAGGGATGCTGGATCATAACGAGAAAAGGTCCCTCAACTGGCGCCACGTTCATCATTTTCCAGACGCAGGCCAAGTCGATCTCAGGCTCATCTACAAGCCGATCAAGACCAGGCGCGCCGACATTGTGGACGCGCCAGGGCTCCTCTCCGAGACGCAAAACCCGTTCCGCGCTTCCAGCGGAAGCCGTCATGTGAAGGTGCGCCAGTTTTGTAACCGCATGCCTGACAGAATTGTCGATATTGAAATCATCCGCAGTATCGCCGCCGGCAATGTGAACGACGGGAACGTCAAGGTAGCCACCTGTTAAAGCGACGGTAATTGCCTCTTCCCTGTCGCCGACGACCACAAGAAAATCTGGTCGCCGAAATGCAACGACGTCGACAAGGCCTTGCAATTGGATTGCAGCCGACTTGGCGCGAGCAGCATCACTGTCAGAAGCAAGAAGGTTGTCGATTTTTGCGACGACTGGATATCCGTCAGCTTCGACGTCTTTAATAGTCAAACCATAGACCGATGCAAGATGGCTGCCGGTGACAACAACCTCAGGTCGCAATGACTTTGACTGAGATACCGCCTCAATCACCGGGTAAAGGATGTCGTATTCGGCTCGTGAACCGGTAACGAACATCACACACCGAGTGTCAGAAGACATCGGACATCACCATGCGGACAGACCATGAGCGGCTGTCCAAGAGATCACCCCCGGACCCTAAAACCCTTCCACCCATATAGGTGACGGGACCTCCTGCTCTAAAACCGACTTTCTCGATTGCTGGGAACATTGGATCAAACACTGGCAGCCACATATTGAGACGCGTCGCGCCATCATCGCGGGCGATGGCCGCAACACTCCCGATAAGAGCACCGACGGTCTCCGGTGTTGCCGCAAGCTCGACAATATCGACGGCATCTTGATGGCGTTTGAAGACAGCAAGACCCAAACCACCTTCGCCACCGGCTACGCCAATGCGATAGGCATTTTCCGGATCTTCAAGCATGCGCCAGTTATAATAAGCAATGTCGCGTCCAAGCGAGACTTTGGCTGGTGAGGGCGCAATGCTCGGAAGCCAATCGCTGAAACGGTCAACCTGAGCAAAACTCCGACCCGGTGTATCTGGAAACGTCATATCGTCAATAGACGCAGACATTTGCGGTACTGGAGCCATATCCTCCCACCCCAAATTCTGCACAAACCCACGATGACTATTGCTGTTAGGAAAGCCGAAGACCATCCGGTATCCCTGCTTCGAAAGGCGGTCGTACAACCGTTCAGCCAATTGTGGAAACAGACCCATTCCTTGATAGTCAGGATGGGTCATCGTTGTCATGGACAACGCAGCTTTACCGACATCCCTGCCGATCATCAGCGGCATTGGCGACACAGCGTAATGCGCGGCCAGCGTGTCGCCGTCCCAGGCAAGCTCGATCATCGGCGCATCAATTGGATTGTCACGATACCGCCAGTTCCAATAATCCTTGGACATGGGTTTTCCGAAAGCCGCTTGGAACAATGCCAAAATGGCCTGCTCGTCACCAGGACGGAAAGGCCGAAAATCCAACTCGTGTGCATGAAACGTCGTCGCTGCATTCAACATGGGTTTTCTCCAAGCGGTACACTTGAGGGAACATTGATAAGGCGGGCTTCGATATTGCGGGCACCATCAAGCGGCATGGCGGGCGCCCCGGCATACATCGGCAGATCATTCATCAGCGTCCAGGTGGGTCGCGTCATCAGGCCAGCATCATTTGTCGCCTCGAGCACCGCATCACGTGTTTCGATTGACGGATCATCAAGCAAAAGACAGTTCAACCAATAATTGGCACGACCAAAACACCGTTCACGAAAAACACTGACACCCGGAACGGCCTCGAAGGCAGTTACATATCGTTCGGCAAGAAAACGCTTGCGCTCAATATAGGATGGGAGGCTTTCAAGCTGCGCACAGCCGAGTGCCGCATTCAGGTTCGGAAGACGGTAATTATATCCAACGGCATCATGGTCGAATGCCCACCGATGGGCGACTTTCGCCGTTGTCGTCAGGTGTTTGGCACGAGCGGCTAGATCTGCATCGTCGGTGACAATCGCACCACCGCCGCCAGTCGTGATGATCTTGTTGCCATTAAAGCTGATCGCTGCGACACGGCCAAGCGAGCCGCATTTTTCACCTTTGTACACACTGCCGAGGGACTCGGCTGCATCCTCAACAATCGGAATCCCATACCTGGCCGCAACCGCAATCAGAGGCTCCATATCAACCGCATGCCCATAAGTGTGCATGGGGACGATGGCGCCGAACCGACGGCCCGTCAGTCGATTGCGCAATCCTTCCAGGGACCGTTCGCCAATCTCTGCCAGGTAAGCGTCGAGTTTGGTTGGGTCCAGCCCCAATGTCGCGGGATCGCTATCCACGAAATGAGGGACCGCGCCAAGATAGGACGCTGCATTGGGGGTTGCGACAAACGTAAGCGCCGGCATCAGCACTTCATCGCCAAGGCCAACACCGACAACTTGCAGTGCAATTTGAAGCGCCGCCGTGCCGTTTACGACAGCAACGCCATGGGCGACACCTGAAAGAGCGGCGACCTCTTCTTCAAATTTTTCAACATAAGAGCCAACAGAGGAGACCCAGCCCGTATCGAGACAGTCTTTGACATAGTCCCACTCAGCACCTTCGAAATGCGGTACATGAAGCGGCTGAAAGGCATGGTCCTCTGACACACCAATAGCCGACCGAATAGCAGCCACCACTTGGGACGGATCTACCTGTTCATACGGCTGATTGAGTGTCGCAAGTCCCATAGGGCTCTCCTCAGGCGGCAGCTTCCTCGCGCACATCATAGTTCCCGTAATAACCGGGAATTTCTTCTGAACGCAGGTAGAGGCCAGAACGAACCGCCTCGATCAATTCTGGGACGAAGGCTTTCACGGAGTGGCGCGGCTCAAATCCCAATTCATCTTTGATCTTGGCAAAGGACACGCGGTAGTTACGCGGATCGCTGCCTTTTTCAACGTAAGAAACCTTGCCATCAATGTGGGTCAGGATTTCGTCGATGATCATCGCCTTGGTGTAATTGTTTTCATCAGCGCCAACATTGAAAACTTCACCGCGGACCTTTTCTTCCGGCGCTTCCAGCACCCGAATGACCGCACCAGCAATGTCACGCACGTGGCAGTAAGGACGCCACGTATCCTTGTCATAGACATCCAGCGCTTCGCCCTTAGCGAGAGCAGCTGTAAACTCATTCACTGTCAGATCAAACCGCATGCGGTGACTGAGACCGAATGCTGTGGAGATACGAAGCACAGTCGGGATTGCTTCAGATGTTTTCCCCTGCTCCAGCAGAAACTGCTCGAACCCAACTTTGGTCTCCGCATAGATGGAGAGAGGCTTAAGATCAGATGTTTCATCCGCTGGTTCATCGCTGTCTCGCATGCCGTAGTTGGAACAGGTCGACGTAAAGACGAACTTGTGAATGCCCCGCCCTTCAAGCGCTTTAAAGACAGTCTCTGAACCAGCCTGATTGACCGAGCGTGTGAGATCGGGGAATTTCTTGGAGATCGGATCGCCAACAAGCGAAGCGAGAAGCACCACGTCAGTGATACTATCCAGCGCACGATCAAGTGTCGCTTCGTCCCTTAGGTCTCCCATTACCAGGCTGAAGCCTGGCTCGTCATAAAGGCCTTCAAGCGACAGAGAATTGGAATAGAGGAAATTGTCCAGCACCCGGGTTTTGTAACCGCGCTTCAGAAGCTCGCGAACCATGACGGAACCCACATAGCCTGCGCCGCCAATGACCAACACATGCCGAGGTAAAACCGCGCCGCTCCTGGAGGCTTTATCGAGCCGTGAAAGTTCGTCCTGAAGGGCTTCAGCAGCCGCAAGGGGGTCTTCCCCTTCCATCCGCGCCGCACAGTTGCGGATCGCCTGCGCATAGACGTCGCTCGTGCCATCCAGGTCCACGCCGCGCGTCTCGCCAATTCCATCAATCGTCAGTGCCATATTCTGAGGCTCCCAAAGAGGGGTCGAGGTCCATGAGACCAAGCCCGGAGTCATTGATCCTCAGAATGTCGCTGAAATGGTTAATGCCACCTTTAGAAACCAAGGCTTAACCATAAAAAACGCCCCTTTCCTGCGGAAAGAGGCGTCTCAACAGGGTTACCCCTGCCTTAATCGGCTATTTTGCTCAGAACTGCTTTTCAGGCAGACGAACGACCAGACCGTCAACTTCGTCAGAAACCTTGATCTGACAGGAGAGACGGCTGCCGTCGCGCACGTCAAACGCGAAGTCGAGCATATCCTCTTCCATCTGCTCGGCAGAGCCGGTCTTGTCTTTCCATGCACCGTCAACATAGACGTGGCAGGTCGCGCAGGCGCAGGCCCCGCCGCAATCCGCATCAATGCCCGGAATGGAGTTCTTAATAGCGCCTTCCATCACCGTCATACCGTTTTCACAGTCAATGGTGTGGGACGTCCCGTCATGTTCGATATAGGTGATCTTCGCCATGGCTCCCGTCGAATCTTTCCCTGTTAAGCGTCGCCGGGCCTCTTAAGCGTGCCCGCGCCAAGAAAATGACGCCTGTGTCATTATTTTTCAAGTGGCGATTTGCCTCAATATCGGCTGAAAGTCCACCACCGGCCGCTCCGAATAAGCAGCAGGCCGGGAAATATCACGCGTGCTTGCCTGTCGTCCAGCCGGATTTGGCCAAATGATCGCTCGCATGGGCCACAGGCACCTCCTCCAGCGGGGTCGCCAGCGTGTCATTCCAGCGATTGAGAAAGCCAAAAGCCGAGATCACCGCGACGATATCGACGATCTGGTCCTCGTCGAAATGGGGTTTTAGGGCCTCAAAATCCGCATCAGAAACCCCGTTTGGCACCTGAGCCGACAATTGCGCCACGGTCAGCGCCGCCCTCTCCGCCTCAGAAAAGAGATCGGACGTCTCATATTCCCAGATCTGCGCCAGCTTCTGGGCATCCAGATCTTCCGCATTTTCCGCCCCATGATGCGTATGCGCCTGACAGTAAAGACAACCGGCGGACCGACTCGCCATATAGGCAATCATCTGCCTGAGACCCGGCGACAGCGCCCCGCCCAGATTGACCTGCGCCATCATGCTCACAAAGGCTTTCACCAGCTCCGGGCGTCGCGCCATGATCAATAGAGAATTAGGCAAAAAGCCCATGGATGCCTCAGCCAAGGCCAGTTGGTCTTCCAAATCCGGCAGTGATGCGCGGTCCAATGGTGCCAATCGTGTCATGAAGTCCTCCCAACCTTATCTCGACGCCTTCTGGGTCGCCGCATTGAGAGCAAGGCTATGCGGTGTCACCGCCCACCGCCAGTCGGGACCATTCACTTTTGGGGGAGCATTTGCAATTCGCCTGTCGAGCCCTTCATAATCCGCGCAAATGATCCCTCAAGAAAATGGGCCACACCATGCTTCCAGAACACAGAGCCCATAGCGAAGCCATGGCCCAAAATGCCAATGCCATGGTGGACGGCGTTGTCTGGCAGACCATCGCTCTGTCGCTGGGTTGTGCAGCAATCATTGTCGGAACAATGACGGCGGGCGCTCTAAACGCACTACCGCTCTGGGCGGTCTCACTCATCATCTATCTAAGCGTATATCTGAGCTACACCGCGCTCCATGAAGCGGTGCATCAGAACATCACCGGTACCAGGAAGGATCTCGCCTGGATCAACAAGGCGATCGGCACCCTCTCCTCATTCTTCCTTGTGCATTCCTACGAAATGCATAAAACCATCCACCTGACCCACCACCGCAACACCAATGACCCCGAGCACGACCCGGATCATTGGGTGAATGGCTCAAACTTTCTGATGACATGTCTGCGCAGCGGTACGCTGTTCAACGGCTATTTCTTCTATTGCTACAAGCACTGGGACGACCCGCAGATGCGCCGCGCCTACTGGATCGGCCTCCGCGACACCTTCCTCTCGCTGACAGCCATTGCGCTGATTGCGGTCTTTATCGACTGGAAGCTCGCCGTCTTCGGATTTCTGGTACCGGCGACGTTCGCCATGATGACACTCGGTGTCTTTTTCGACTATCTGGTGCATGTGCCGTACAAAGCCCGCGCCCGGTTTGAGAACACCCGCGTCATTATCTTCCCCCGCTGGTTGGACACAATTGTCACATTGGCCTATGTGCAGCAGAACTATCATGGGGTACATCACGCGTTTCCGCGCATTCCCTTTACAAAATACCGGCACTTTTTCCGCACAACGGAAGAGGACGTTGTTGAAGCAGGTATGCCTGTCGCCCGGCCACTCGGATAACAATAAACGCCCGACATGACCAAGCCCCTCAACGTTCTGTTCATCACCGCCGACCAATGGCGCGGCGACTGCCTCTCAGCTCTCGACCATCCAGTGGTGAAAACGCCCAATCTGGATGCGCTTGGCCAGGATGGCGTGATGTTCACCCGGCACTATGCAAACGCTGTCCCCTGCGCGCCAAGTCGCGCCTCACTCCACACCGGGCTCTACTTACAGAACCACCGCGCCTGCACCAATGGCACGCCCCTCGATGCCCGCCATACAAATTGGGCGCTGGAAGCAGAGAAGATCGGCTATGACCGGGTGCTGATTGGCTACACGGACACAGCGAACGATCCACGCGAATTGCAGGACGACAGCCCATGGCTCAAAACCTATGAAGGGCCGCTACCGGGCATCCGCCCCATCGCCATGATGGGCACCTGGCCGGGCCCATGGGCCGACTATCTGAAAGACAAGGGCTATCCCCTACCTGACGATCTGCGTCAAACCTTCGGCCTGCGCAATGAAGGCCCGGACTATGAGCATGGCCGCGACACGCCAAAGCCGCTTATCTATCCGGCAGACGACAATGATACCGCCTATCAGGTGGATCGCTGCATCGAGTATATGGGGCAAGCCCAAGATCCCTTCATCATGCACCTGTCGCTCCTTCGCCCGCACCCGCCCTGGGTAGCAAGCGAGCCCTACGCCTCCATGTACGATCCAGAAAGCCTGCCCGGCTACATCCGCGCGGAAACGGCGGAGGAAGAAGGCACCATCCATCCGTGGCTCGAACATCAGCTGGAGCATCGCCACTACTTAGCGCCCGACAATGACAAAAAGCAGCGGCGCATGAAGGCGGTCTATTACGGCCTCATGACCGAAGTCGACCATCAGATAGGACGGTTGATCGCGTTCCTGAAGGAGAGCAGTCAATATGACAACACGCTCATCATCTTTACCTCAGACCATGGGGAGCAGATGGGCGATCATTGGCTGATCGGAAAGACCGGCTATTTCGACGGCTCCTATCACATCCCCCTTATCATTCGTGATCCGCGCGCAGGCGAGACGCGCGGGACACGCATCAACGCTTTCACAGAGAATGTGGACATCATGCCAACGCTTCTTTCGAGCATCGGTGCCCCCGTCCCGCCCCATTGCGATGGACGCTCCCTAAGTCCTGTGCTGGAAAGCGGAAGCGTGCCGCGAAACTGGCGCACGGAAGCCCACTGGGAATATGACTTTCGCGACCCCGCCGACGACAAGGCGGAACAAAGGCTCGGCATCACGCTGCATCAATGCACCATGAATGTGATCCGTTCAGAGAAATATAAATATGTGCACTTCACGAACCTGCCCCCGCTCTTTTTCGATCTGGGAGATGACCCGCATGAGCTGGTGAATCGCGCGACCGATCCCGACTATCTGCCGCTGGTGCTGGAGTTCGCGCAGAAGATGCTCTCCTGGCGCATGGCCCATGATGAAGCCACCCTCACCCCCGTCACCCTGACGGATGATGGGCCGGTGGAGCGAGCGTCGCAGAGGTAGCCACAACGGTAAGGATTTTAGCGAGTGGACAGGACAGAAGAAAAACGTTGGTCTATCTACATAGACATTGAAGGCTTCAGTCTATTGTACCCAAAAGAAGACCTGATCCTCCATTCCCTAGGCGAAGTAATGAGGGCCATTTTCAGGATTGGTTCGCGAAAATACTTCGATGAAGGTGAACGGCTGTTTGCCCATCAGTACGGCGATGGTTTTTTGGTGATTAGCGACTTTCATGAGCCAAGCCTAGAACGTTGCGCAAGCATAGCAATCGCGATTCTCAGACACGTCGCTTCGACCGGACGGTTTGCAAGAGCAGCAATTGCAGAAGGCGATGTCGCAGACATCGTTGGTTGCTATCCGCGCGAAGTGTTAGATGAGCGTCACGGAGGCGATCATACAAGTCTCCAATTTGGCTCTGGCATAATGACTCTCACGCCAGTTATGGGGTCAGCTTTAATCAACGCTGTCGGGATAGACAAGAAAGGTCCCAAAGGACCTCTTTTATTGGCAGCCAATGACTTTTCCAGCAGACTCGGCGACGAAATCAAATACAAAGCGACGGATGATACTGGTCGGCTCATTGCTATTGATTGGGTGAACTCAAAATCTGCCCTAGCCACCGACATCAGCAAGACCAGCAATCTTGCCGCACCTTCACTAGAAAACTTGCAAACGTCATTTAGCCAATACTGCAATGAAACGAATCCACCATTGCAGTGGCGCGAGAACGTTGAGACATATCTCAGCCTGAAAGCCTAACATTCCACGATCCCCTCAATCAGTTCCACGGCCACGTCGTTCGCCCGATGCTCGGCCTCTGAAGTCCGTTCCGGCTCGCCGGCGATAGGACCGGATCTCACGGCACCTGCTGACGCGAGGCTCTAAATGATCTAGACGCAAGCTCCATAATTCGGCACACCTAAGATAGGAAACGTTTTAAGTTAAAGAGGGTCAGTTTGGACCAGTTGGATTGCATAGTGATTGGCGCAGGCGTTGTGGGTCTTGCCATCGCACGTGCCCTCGCGCTTCAGGGGCGCGAGGTCGTCGTGCTGGAGAAAGCCAAGCTCATTGGCAGCGAAACCTCCTCCCATAATTCTGAAGTCATTCATGCGGGCATCTATTATGCCGCAGACAGCCTGAAAGCCCGTTTCTGCGTAGAGGGCCGCAAGCGCCTCTATCCCTTCATGGAAGAGCGCGGCATCGAGCACAAAAAATGCGGCAAGCTGATCGTGGCGACCAATGCAGCACAGGTTGCTGAACTTGCAAGCATCAAACAGCGCGCGGAGCGAAACGGTGTGGATGATCTGCGCCTGGTTGAGCGCGCAGAGCTTTTGGAGATGGAACCCTCCCTGCGAGCAGAGGCAGCCCTCCTCTCGCCCTCCACCGGCATTCTCGACAGTCACGGCCTCATGCTTGCCTATCAGGGCGATATGGAAGATCGCGGCGGCGCCATCGCTTTTGGAAGCTCCGTCGATGGCATGGAAGCGCAGGACGACGGCATCATCCTCACGATCTCCGGCGATACGGAGATGGTGCTGAAAGCAAAGACGGTGGTGAATTCAGCAGGGTTCTCGGCACCTCGCTTGGCCGCCAACACCAAGGGCCTCAAACCAGAACATCAACCCAAAGCCTATTACGCCAAGGGCAACTATTTCACGCTGGCCGGCCGTGTG